ATCTTGAGATAGATGATCAAGAGTAAGGTAATAGTTCTGAAATAATCATATAATTTAGATTTCATGTCTTTGATCTCTACATAACACGCCGTAAAATCAGATTTTAATATAAGTTAAAGTCAAATAATTAATATTAACCACATCTTTCATGGGCCTCACAACTTTTCAACCACATATTTCAAAAACTTCTATCACAATCTATTAAAAATCTAATTTTAATTCTCACCAAACGCCCACTAAATCTACTGTCAACAGTTACTAAACTTTAAGCAAAATCAAAATTGAGTTACTAAACTTTAACTTTAAGCCCCTGTTTTAGCCATATCATTTTTTTCGTTCTCATTATTCCATTCATTTGTAACCACACATTTTTCAATAAAATAATATTTTCATCACATCAATAATTTTTTCTTCCTTTTCAACTACATATTCTCCATCAAATCAAAACAAAAAATGCATTCTTGATGCAAAAATGTGCACCAAACATGGGTTAAATCTAGTTTCAAAATTTATCATTCTATCATTTGTTTGTCCCCTAAATTGATTGAAATTGCTTGCTTAGCAATCATACTACAGTAAATCATCAATGCAAACATCGCATACCACACTAACTTACCACTAGGTTAGAATACTATTTTTTAAAATAAAAAAATCACACCTTTTAAACTTAGGGTTTTACTAGAAGTACATAATTTTTGTACATAAAGAAATACACAACACTCGCATGGGGTCACATGTGAGTGTTATGTACCTGTTTATGTAAAAAAAAATTATGTACAACTAGAATTATCTTTAAACTTATAGCCCTTGTTGGAGGCTCATCTTGGTAAAAAATGAATTTTATAATAGTGATTTTTTGAAAAATGTATAATTAAAATGTATGGAAAAGTTTTGGATTTACATACAAAATTATTTTATTAAGTTCCTGTTTAAGCCACATTATTTTTTTCATTCCCATTCTTCTACTCATTTTCAATCACACATTCATCAATAAAATAATATTTTCTATTATATCAATAATTTTTTCCATCTCATCACTTAAAAAAAAAACGCATCCCCTCATTTCAATATGCACCAAACACACTCTAAGATAATGTATGGTTAGAAATGAGTTTTGGAAAATATGAAATTTTAGAAAGTGGGGCTCAAATTGGAGGTTAATATAGCCCTTGTTTGGGTTCCATTTTTGTCAAAATGCATTTTTCTCTTTTTTATTTTGAATCACATATTTTTCAATAAAATAATATTACATGTAAATTTAAATTTTTTCCTTATTTTTTAACTATACATTCTAACGAAAATCACTATTTTAAAACACATTTTTCTTCAAAACGGTTTTTTATTGGAATCTAAACAAGGGCATAATTACAGTCATTACCTTTTTTCCACCCTTTCTATCTCTATGGTCACATAACAATTACATGGAAAATCCATTGTGTTGTAGTTGTGAACTAAGCAACTTCTGTTAGCTTGGGAATTACAAGTACCGGAAATTAAATAAAAATTTAAAGTCCGTTTAGTTTGTGCTTTAGTTTTTAGTTTTAAGTTTTGAATCCATTTTCATTTTTCAATTTTGAGAGTATGTGTTAAAATTGCCAAAATACGTTTGGTTTGTCGTTTTGAAAAATTATTTTTCAAAACAGAAAACTATAAAATATGTTTAATTTGAAATTTTGAAAATTGTTTTATGACACTTCATTCCATGAAATTATATTCAGTAAAAATAAAATAATTTTATGTTAATATATTATCAAGTAATATATACATTTTAAAGTTGGTAAATTCTATAATATTTTTTCCCGCTGCAAAAGTAAAACAAAAAAATAATAATAATAAATTGAGTAGGTAAAACAAAGAAAAAAAACTAATGATNACAAAAGTAAAATAAAACAAATAATAAATTGAGTTCAACATATATGAAATAAAAATAAAAATTAAAGACGTGAACTGAGAATATTTTTATTTGTGTTCATTTAAATATTTTTTAAAGAACTTTTATGTAAATAGTCATTAAGAATTTGAACTATTTTTATTTTTTAGAATTTCTTTTATATTTTTAAATTATTCTAGATATATTTTTTAAAATTTCATTTTTGTAGAATTTAGAATTTTATTTTTAAAAATTTTTGATCTTTTAAATTTTATTAAAACACTTAGTGTTTTCATAATTTTCATTTTAAACACTTAAAAACTCAAAAATTCATTTTGAGTTTTAAATTATAGATTTAATTCTTGTTTGATTCTCATTATGATCCTGTTTGAACCACCTTTTTGTAGAATAAGAATGAAAAATATAGTTGTTATTGGGGCCACACAGGAGATAGAAAATTTGAATTTAAATATTGATATGATGGATAACGGTCATATTTTTCGTTTTAATGAGATAAAAATGTGGTCCAAACGGGTTCAAAATACATTTTTCTCTTTTTTTTTAACCACTCAATCTTCAATAAAAATAACACGCAAACCCAAAGTTTTTCCTTATTTTTCAACTATACATTTTCTATCAATTTACTATTTTATAATGCATTTTTAAGAAAAATTGGACTCAAACAGGCTGTTAATCTTGTTTTCAAAAATGTATTTTCAGAAATACTAGATCAAATACATTTTGTATTTTGAAAAATTGAAAACAACGTACTCTTTTAGTGATCCAATTGAAACAAATTTAAAATTATGCTGAAAGTTCAGTGGCCACTAATGAAATTTATGCTTTGTCATGAAGGAATGGAAAAGAAATAAAGGGCTTATCCTCCGGTCCGAACAGGCCCATAAAAATCTTGTGCTAGGGTAGGGCAGCCAAGGGAAAACACAATCCCCTTTCTCAAGTCTCAATTCGCTCTTGCTCTCCCTTCTAGGTTACATAAAAAACCCAGCTCAGAACTTCCAATTTTTCTGTGGTTATATTTGAAAAGAAAAAAAAAAAAACTTTTTAGAAATAAGTTTTATAGCCTCTCATGGCTAGCAGAAAACTTGTCCGGGATTTATTCCGCTCGAAACACCCTCTTTTTCGTCAGCTATTAGAAGCTGAACAGGTGTGTGTCCTTTTCTGTTCTTCTATTTGTAATAGGGATTTGATATTTTTGGCGAAAAGATTGTATTTTAATATGTTATGTTAAATAATTTATGGGTTTTATGGTTATTTTTGTGTAGGTTTCAAGCAGATATACACGGCTACGTTTGGTTCCGCCAAATGGGTATTCCTTTAGACGCGAGTTCAGCGTGTTTAATGAGTTCTCCAAGAAGATTAAAGGTGAAGTTGACAGGTATTTTTATTTACTGGATTCTTCTTTAATTTTAATTTTAATTTTAATTTTTATTTGCTGGATTCTTCGTTAATTTTTATTTCCGAACTTTCTGAGTCATTATGTGAATGTTACCTTACGTTAGTTCTGCGTATTAGGCCTCTTTTACGAGAGTTCAGTGTATTGAAGTAATGAATGATACTCATTTAATCATTATTTTCTAAACATGTTTATTTTTTGTGTTTTTATGTCATTTTTTCCTTTGCATTTTGCCAGGATTCTGTCTTTGAAAAGTAATGGCACTCATTAATCATTATTTTTTATTCAGTGAACATGTTTGTTTTTGTGTTATTTTCCCCGTGTTTTGCCAGATTATTTGTCTTCTTAGAGCAGGTCTTTTCAAGTGTTGTTTCCCTCTTTGGTCTTTTTGCATTTCAATTATATTCCTTCTTGGTTACTAATTGGATGTTTGTCTGTTCTATTTCTCCTTTATTTTTTTGTTCTATTAAAAATTGAATCATACTTCTGTATCTTATTGATGGTCTTGCTATGCTACATTGCTGAATCTCGATGTTTATCAAGATTGTAACCCAAGGTGATTAAAATGATGTGGATATTTATTCTGATTCACTTTGCTGTAGTAACGAGGAATTTAAAAAATCGGTGAAGGAATTGAAGGAGAAAGCAGAAGAGCTGAAAGGTGTGAAAGAAGATCTGAAAGTTAGGTGATTATCTATTATTTTTACATTTTTTGTTTCATTGTTCTTGTTAATTACTTTGAGGCTGAGACATACTTTTGTATGTCAAGGCTGGCAGACATTTCCAATGGGGACCCTGAGATGGTGAAATGGCGAAATGCAGAACTAAGCAGACTTCTGAGAAGTTGTACAAGCATGTGGATGGCGTTTGGATGGAGGCTGAAGAGAAGGCCAAAAAGGTATAAACCTCTCTAATGATTCTGTGGTTGGCTTTGTCAAGGTGAATGATGAAAGCTATATTGATTACTAGAATTATCACTGAGAATATGCTATTGCTTTTTAACTATTCTTCTCTGTCTCTTACTCTCATCACTGTCCTAGTGAAGTAATGATATTCCTGGATATTTTCTAGATCCTATAGCACTATTCTGATGTTTGCTTGGGCATTCATTTTTGTGCAGTTACTTGTTTATGCAGTGTTTAATTTATTAGAGAACCCCAAGTATGCTCCTGTTATATCCGAATATCTGAATATATATAGCTAGTAGAGGGATTGGATTTTACTGTCATACAATTTTGTCTTTCCTTGTTGGTAAGTGTGGGGTGGGGTGTATCATGTATGAATACCAAATAAGTTTGACATTTTTGCATCACATTTCTTAAAATGTCGATGATAACTTGAGGGATCCAACTACCTATATTTCTAAGTTTATGGAGGGTCTATGCATCCAGGATGCAAACTATTTGCCTAGAGCTTATGGTGGCAATAGTTTTGCTTAAAGAAATTCGATGTATTTCATTTTCACTTACCTTTTACAAGGTAATTGTAAAAACTACTTCAAGTTTCCATTAGCTCGTTTAGTAATTTAATGATACTAGCATGAAGCAATGGGATTCATTTGGTAATTACAAATTTTACACTCTTTTAGGAACAAGAAATGTGCTGGCCGTGTTTCATTTAAGTCAACCAATTCTAATAGCTCCTCAAAACTTGGCACAAATGTTCTTCATGGTAGCAATATATTGCAGATTATCCATATCCTTTCAGCCAATAGTTCTGCAATTTTTTAGATTTTTCAACTAGTTGACTGTTTTCACAGCAAAACCTAAATGATTAAACCAGTTTGAATTTCAGGAAATATTAATCCCTGTTTGATGTCCATTATTTAGAGAAAATGGAGTATTGAATAGTGATTTTTTTTGGAGAATGTATGGTTAAAAAATAGTGTAAATTGTTGGGTTTACGTGCAAAATATTTTATTGTGTAAATGTGTTGTTGAAAATGAGTTTGAGAATTAAAGAGTTCTGAAATAATGGTTGTCAAATAGGGGTAAATATTGTGAGTGTATGGCATGCTTGTGGCCTGGAATATAAATGACGTTTGCTAATTCAAAGACAGGAAGAACATGCTTACATATATGCTTTTTCACAGACACTGATAATATATGCGAAAGTGAACTGCAAGCTTTTATCTGTATGTTTAAATGCTTTCCGGCTCCTATAGGTATATTCTGATATGGAGGAAAAGATTTCGGCTGCAAAAGTAGAGGTTCGTTAAATTATGTTTTCAGAGATGAACGTGTACAGAACCATTTTCTGCCACAAATGATAAGTTACAAAAAAACATGATAATAAAGATTCTCTAAATTACTATTCAGGTAAAAGGAACTTTTGGTATTGGACCGCAAGATTCTCAAGAAAGAGATGGCACATCGGCTGATCACAGCTCAAATGACAAAGATGGAAGTAATTCTGCATTCAGAGAAGAAAAGCAGCAGGGACAAAAGCAGCAATCTGAATATAGCGATCCTGCGGAAACAATATTTGGCAAGGTTAAGTCTGGTGTTTCTTCCATCTCTCCTAAAGTTTCATTGGCCTTCCTTAAAATGAAGGAAGCAAAGCCCATTGACTTGGTGAAGAAGGGCTACGAAATTGTGAAGGATGAGTTGAAAGGTAACCCAAACAGGAGAAAGCGATTGGAATATGATGCATCTTCGGCTTCCTCGTCGCCAAAAGTTGAAAGAAGCACACGGACGGATGTTGTTGTGTTACCCTCAAAGCAGTCCGCATGGAGTAAGAAATGGGAGGCATTCAAGGAAAAGGTAAGATATCATTGGTATTCTTTCTCTGTTGCCTACCAGACATTATTAATGTTTCCTTTCACAATTTGACGATACATTTGTTTCATATCGCAGATGCAAGGACATCCTATATTCAAGCGTGTCAGTGGGATAAGTGAGCCTGTAATTGGAAAGAGCCAAGAGGTGCTTCTCAACCCTGAATGATATGCTATTATTTGCCTCCACATTTCCTTTTTATTCTATTTTCTTGAGGTTTTTATCTATCGACACAATAGATTCAGAAACAAACAGTTAAATTTATATATTCTGCAATGTTAAAATACGAGTACAGAAGACCACTGATTTGTAAGGGTGTCCATGTGGCGGGGCAGATTCGGGGCCAGGCGGGGATTTTTGGGTGGGTGGAGATTATAATATCCTCATTTTCCGCCTTGTTAAACTAATAATTTATTTTTAAGTACTATTTAAATTTTGAAGTATAAAAATAAAATAACATAGAAAAATTCAGGGCAGGGACCATGTTCCCTGTCCCCTCCTGATCACCTAATGGGGCGGGGTATTTTCCCATCCATAATGTTTTGTTAATTGGTTCAAATCCTTAACTAGCAAGAATGATATTTGTAATTGATATTTCTAGTTATTACTTGCTATAACTGCAAGTGAAACTTTCTTTTTTGTTGTTGTTGGAATGATTCTTCTTTATATTTAGCTGGCCACCATCGTAATTAATGACTTGGTTAATATCTTAGCATGTTAGGATATCCATAACTAGGTTCTGTTCACACTTACCTCTTACACAACTTTCTTGAAAATAACTCCTTGTATTGCTTATGGACAAGTATAATAATTTGAGTTAAGTTTCTTGTTATATCATTTTATTGCTATTGGTTATTGTCAGCATTTGGCTTCTGCCTTCTGTTAAAGTCAAAATTGCTTAGGAGCAATCTTGAACGTTGTTTTACTGTGTGATCTTTATATTCTCTAGTAGAGATGTTATTACTGAAAAAATGAAAGTTTTGTCTCCACTTTTATGTCTTTTCCTGTATACCATGAGCACTAATGTACCATGATCTCTTTTGAACCTTACACTCTCATTAATTTGTGGATTACATTGGCAGATTGCAGAGGATATGAGAGAGAGATGGGAGACTAGTGATCACCCAGTTGTTCACAAAATCCAAGAGTGCGTGTTAATCCTTCTTTCATTCAATTTTTATTTCAATATATGATAGGTAGAAAACTGCTGAAGCATGTTGAGATTAATTAGTAGCATCTGTGTGACAGTATCAGCGAAACTGTTCTGGGAGAATCAGATGCAGCCATGTCATTCAAGGAAATTCGTCGCAGAGACCCGTATGATAATGATCTCTTGCTATATTTGTTTTAAAATTATTTTGCTTTTCTGAATGTCTTGCATACTTCACTTGCTCCAATTTTGCATATGTTAGGACATTCTCTCTACCAGAATTTGTGGCTGAAGTTCAAGAGGTGATCAAACCAGTTCTCAATGCTTACTTCAAAGTAAGTTTTCAAGTTTATATGGGATTAGGGGTAGACACCAATTTATGCTCCACGGCTCAGGAAATTCGCATAAACTTGATTATATCCAGTGTTTTAAAGATATTTTACCCTTAAGAAACTAAACTTAAACTTGAATTTTTGGCAATTAATGCCCCATCCTTTGCGTTATGTAATTCTTGTATTAAGAATTATGAAATAAATAACAATCATATCTTGTATATATTGAATAATAAAAAGTGTACAATGCCTTTTGTATTTATAGGCAAAACTATTCTCTAATCCTATGAATATATCAATATAAGGAAACTAAATTCTAAAAGGAAATAAACTAAAATTTTAATCTAAAAGAAATTAGAAATCCTATTCTAATCAATAAAGAAAAGAAATCCTATTATAAACAAAATATTAGAAAAAAATATAAAACTTATTGCTACTAGACATCTTATTATAAATATATAATCCTAAATCTATTGTATTACATTAATTTCTCCCACTTGAAAAAAACTCGCCCTCGAGTTTTGTTGAAAAAAGAATCCTTGATAAATTGTGTGTTTTTGAACTTGGCTGGGATTTGAGGAAAATTCTCTAACCACATGTTGCAGTGTTTTGTGCTTGTTTAAACAACCAACATTCTTAGCAGTTAAGATCTGCAAATTCTTGTCAGTTTGCTTTTCCATGAGCTCGCGATTCCTTTCAAGACCCAACGCAGTCAATATCTACATGATGTTGTAAAGGGTTTCATCGATCTCCTTGATTCGTTATTCGAGTTTGTCGAGCTTCCGTTCGTTGTCGACGGTTCGACTGCCACAAGGACCATCGTGAGTCAATTTCCTTGCTTTGATACCAATTTTGGTACGGAAGTGTTATGAAATTCTTGTAATAAGAATTATGTAATAAATAAGAATGATATTTGAAAAATCATTTCTTGTATATATTGAATAATAATTGATTATTGTTGAAAAAGTGAACAATGCTTTTGTATTTGTAGGCAAAACTATTTCCTAATCCTATTAATACAAGGAAACTAAATTCTGAAATGAAACAAACTAAAATCCTAATATAAAAGAAATTAGAAATCCTATTATAATCAATAAAGAAAAGAAATCATATTCTAGACAATGTATTAGAGTAAAAAGATAAAACTTATTACAACTAGACTTCTTATTATAAATATCTAATCCTATTGTACTACATCAACTTGACTTGCCATTCCAAAGGCTCTCTACTGTAATTTCTGTAAGCCACTGTACAGGGATGCCGCAAAGAGTTTGTACTCTCTCTCTCCTCCTAAATTATCTCATCCAGCAATAGTGGGGGTAGGGTGGAACCAATGTTGTCGAAACAAGTCTTGAACTGGCCACTTAGAACACAAAATTGGGAACATGTCTTGTTACGTTATAAAACACATTTGGTAAGGGTAAATGGTGAATGGAGTGTACTGGCCATGATTTGACCATTATTTATTTTATTGTTTTTCTCTAAGTGAAAAATAAAGAAAACAAATTAGGGCGTTTGATTGCAAGTATGAAACTTGCAAGAAAATAAGTTCTACATTATTCAATTGTCTAGAACTTTTTTGCTTGTAAATTATTAATCAAATATGTTTGATTGGTTTAATTTTCAAACCTAGAAAATGCTATACTCGTCCATCTTTTATTGGTTGGTAGATGAGAAAGAGGGTACATGAGAGAGAGTGAATTTCTTGGAAAATAAAAGCTTTTTCCTCCCTAAACATAATGTTTTCCAGAAAAATATTGTCACGTGACCAACTTTTGGAAAATATGTTGCATGGGAGAAAATGTCAATCAAACACTCCAAAAGTAGGAACATTGGTGAAAGAGGACATTTTCTATGAAAAATAAAGTCAATCTAACATGCCCTTAAGGTTAAAAGAGAATTCAACCTAGCTGTAGTCTCTTTTCATCCATCTCTTCACGTCTTTTCATTTCCTCCACTTGAAATCTCTTCATCTCTTTCTTCTCACTTAACTAAAAAGGAAGATTTGTTTTTACATTTTAGGGGAGATAGATTTTAGCCAACCTCGCAACAGCAACAGACTACTTTCCATGTGAAATTGCCTTTAATCTTAAGGATGAAATAATTATCCATGTATGCTGTGCCTTTAATTAAACAAATTTTTTGTATGGCACATGCAAATGTGGACTCTACACTGCTTTACCCATTAATATTTTTTTTTTTCTCATCGGACGTATATATTATTATGTTACAAACTAATTTTTTTTCAATGATATCAAGTTTTCCCATTTTATAATGGGTGCATTGTCCCTACTTCCACTCCGCTTGTGACCCTGAACTTTTTCCAACTCAATGCCTGATCTGGACCGTGTGGAACATATACGTGCTCCAGAAGAAACTAATTGCAGATATTCTTTCGTTAGGTCTTCTCTGGGTAATATATAGACTTCAGGATATCATCTCACTATGGATATTTGACGGAGATTATTTCCTGTATGTAGGGAGATGTTGAAGTTTTAAGCAAGTATTGTAGCACTGAAGTGATTGAGAGGTGTAAAGCGGAGCTTAAAGCATTTGAAAGTCAGGGAATCTTTTTTGACAACAAGGTGAGAAAATGTGCTTATATTTTTGCTTTCTGTCCATGCTATATTACAGGAATTGTTTGGCTCGTTTTGTTTAAGCGGTGGAACTATGAAAATATCTCATTTTTTTCTCGGATTATCTTTGACTTCTAATAATTCAAAAGAATCAAAATTAATTGAATTTTCATTATGCTTGAAGTATTAATAGGAATGAAATGCTTGCAGATTAAAGAAACTAATTTAATTAAATGTGCTTGGATCTATTGAGGCGGGTTATATAGATTAGGGGGTCTGAAATAACCATATGTTAAGGATTGGTGGCAACTGGCAAGTAGTCAAATGGTACTGAGAAAACTTGGTGGTGTTGTGGAGTTTATAGCATGGTTGTGGGTGGTGATATGGCAGGAATGGCGGACCATTATTTGATAATGAAAATGATGTATTTTTTTTGCTTTATACAGTGTATTTTTCGTGCAGAAAAATGTCCCAGTCCCAACTGGTTGGGCTTATGTAATATATCACCTTGTTGGATGAAAATGAGAAACTCGCTCTGTAGATGTGGGCCCTTTGTCACTGTGTGTTTGCTATGGGGATCTATGTGGGATGTGGGTGTTAGTGGTAGGGATGTGCAGCAGTGAGAAAAGTTGGCAGCAGCAATGGCTGTGGTAGTTTCGAGTTGTTGAATTTGAAGGTTATGACAGGTAGGTGTTGTGTTTGAGTTGGTTCTGGCAGTGTGAGCGTTGAAGCGGGTGGCAATGGGATTGACAATGAATTTGACTTTATACTGGGTATTATGGGCATAGGAAAAATAGGGCTTACTCTGTATGGGCACGTATAATATACAAGTATACCGAATGTTTCATATGCTTGTTAATAACTGCATGCATTGCACGGTTAATGTGAAAAAAGCCATTTTCTCAGCAATAATGAGCTGAGAGAGTAGTGAATGGTCTTGTTAAGTAATCATGAATGCGGATTTCAGTTGTAGCTTTCAGGAGAGTTTACGAAGATTGCTTTCAAAACTGGATTCTACCAGTCAACGAATTTCTCATATTAGTTGGCTTGAGTGCAAAAAATGGATGTATTGCATTTTCATTTATGAGGGAAATTTACAGAACAGTATATAGAGTGTAATTGCACTTAACTGACGGCAATTTTGAAAATGCTTTTTGCTGATATCACAACCAAAAATTCTTCTCCTTCATACAGATACTACACATATCAGAAGTTGAAGTTCGAGAGACTAAAATGATGGGGGACACTCCCATAATCATTGTGGCAGTAAGATCTCCCTCTCCCATTTTCCTATGTTGAAGCATCTACACACACACACTCTCTCTCTCTCTCACATAATTCTGATTGATCTTTTGGTGGGAAATTGTTACAGTTCCAAACACAACAAGTCTATTGTATACGTGATAGACTTGGATCAATAACGGAAGGTGGCCAGGTAAATGCTAGATCCTCAAGTTTTGTACCTTTAGTGGCTTTTTGTGTTTGTCAGAAAGAGTACTAAAAAGAAAAGATAATGTATTTTGCATTGGTCATTTGTGTCCGAAAATTTGAATATTCTGTGATTTCAGCATTATTTTATCTAGGATCAGATAGTAACCTCGTGAATCAAACTGGGTGGCCCTTTTTTCGATTTGTTTCTGGAATTTCGGTGGCTCGTTTCTAGAGTCTTTTGGTTCTCAAGTCTGCCAAAGGGTGTAGGTGTTCAGCTTCATTTGGGAAGAAAATAATTTTGATGAGAACATAATTTGGAGTTGATTGTTGTCTATTGTTATATGTTCCTTCTGCAAAATGTGATTAATATTTCATAATGTTGGAATTAACATTCATCTGCATGGAGATGGGGCAAATTCTGTTTCTGATAAGAAATAGGCTTTGTTACGCTGGTGTACCAAGCAATTAGCACCATATTTGGAAACAGATGAATGCCAATTTAGTAGTTGGAATGTCAAACTTGCTGCATGCAGGTAACCGAGTATTTGAACTCTTTGTTTGAGTTTCTGCGTGTATTTATGCTGGAAGTCATCATTTGACTCTTCGCAAAAACCATTGTTCCTCATTGGATGAATAGCTAATGTGCTATGTCCCACATTCGATATCATAATTGGGAAAAAAAAGGTGGGTGTAGGATTATGGTAGAAAAGTAACTGGCAAGAGGGTGCTTCTCTTGATTCCTTGAAAAAAGTAAAATAGTACTAATTGCCCAAACTTCCACACTGGTCCACTTAAGGTTTTTGCCTTTGCTAAAATGAGACCAATGAGCATTGCTTAAGTAACCTATCAGCTCCTAAAGTTTATTTTAAATTTGGTGTTGATTCAGGATACCATCCACACAGTATATTATGCTTGGGCCATGCAGCAACTAGATCCCGAAGAACTTGGAGATGGTGCTCCTTACTCGATATGGAGGCTTAGAGAAATGCAGCAGCTTGGAGTCCGAGCCCTTATTTGATTTCATTTTCTATATTAACTTGAATAATTTTGCCAGATGAGTATTTAACATTTATTTTATGGCGGCCGAGGAATTCATGAGGCAGCATCTTCGTTTCTACTCAATTTTGATTCCTGCCCACTTAAAAAATGAGATAATTTTCATTTGAACTTTGGCCTTTATGTTCTTGATTTGCCATCTCTTTTAGTTGTATCAATGTTCTAAAAATTGGACCTATCAATTCCATCGGAAAAATCGTGAGCTTGTTGGACGAGCGGTTCGATTGTAGCTGGGTATCTGGTAATATGGAAACCCGTAAAAATTCAGTAAAATGTTTTTATGAGTTTTTTTGACCTTGCAAAAAAAGGAAAAAAAAAAAGCATAGATTAAATATTGAAAATGAAGCTTCCCTGATGGTCTCTGATAGATCATTCATCAATTCGTACGCACATGTATACTTGCAGAATTTGCCGGAAAAAATTAGAAGCTGCTATTGCACAGAGTGAGGATAAGAATTCGCGCCGTGCCTGTGTTGACGATTTTTAGGTTTATAAGTTGAGTGAATTATACTCAGCCCTACTTTTAACTTACAATTTCATAATTTCAGATATAACTTTAATTTTTCACACCTTAATTCTCGCACCTTCCTAAAACTACGGAATAGGTTATTATCCAAACTATTTCATTCATTTCATTTTCACATCAAAACAAAAATCCAAAATCGATTATTGTTTACATTGCTCAAAGGGACAAGTACAAAGATGGTGACACTGTGAAGGGTGTTCAAAGAAGGGGGGGGAGGTAACTGAGACTTGAGTTGCGTTTCTGCGAACGGTGTATAGGAGAAATGGCGTTAATGCGACGTTGTAACCGAACGGCACGTTCCGACACTGGTGAACCCTCTGGAACTGCACGTCGTAGCAGGGGAAGGGCGAATGTGGCGAAGGAGTGTCGTGAAGAAAAATTGAACATCCCCAGTAAATCGCGTCTAAACTTGGAGAAGAGGGCTCGCAAGGATTACCCTAGAACTCCTGTAAACCCTCGAAGATCGAATCCGGCCAAGGTAAGTTTTTTTTGGCAATTTCTCGACATTTGTTGTTGATTGTGATCTAGATTTTTATGTATTGTGACCCAAACGTTCATTTGTGATAAAACAGTCCTAACCAAGTCACAATTCTTCTTCTAATGTGACATATTTTCTGATGAACATTGGGTCACAATCAGTTGATGTGCATAGTTATTGATGTATGATATCGTTTGTTTTTATGTATTGTGACCCAGGAAAGGAAATACATTATACCAGAAAATTTATGGTTTCCCGAGAAGATTACAACAAATGTGGCAAAAAACGTACTGACAAATTTCACTTCTAAGTTCAATGCGGTCCAAAGGTCTATTCTGGCAAAAACTCGCTTCTCTCATTTCATGGAATGTAATGAAATTATTCTGCAGCCACAGCTTATACACTATTTTTTGACGAGGGAAGTGTTGCAACCTAATCCAAATGAGATGTGGTTCAAAGTTGGTAATAGATTTTTGAGATTTTCGATGTGCGAATTTTGTTTAACCATAGGGCTTAGATGCAGTGGTGATGATTTTAGGAAAGATATTGATAACATTTCGTCTAGGATAAATGTAACATATTTTGGGCACTTGAAGTTGGTGACAAATGAGGATGTGAGGTATGTGTGTATGAATGTGTCCGATGTACACGATCGTGAAGTTGTGAGGATTGAGATTTTATATTTGATTACGTCATATTTGTTTTCAACATCTTACAAAAGGGTGGTGGAAATTTTTTTATTTGCGTTGGTTGAGGACTTTGATCTTATGGAGTTGTTTCCTTTTGGGAAGGACTTATTTCAAATGTCTCTAAAATCTTTGAAAGAGGGGTTAAGTCGCAGGAATCCACATTATAGGTTGAAGGGGTTTTTGGTTGCATTTCAAGTGTGGATATATGTTAAGTCGCAGGAATCCACATTATAGGCTGAAGGGGTTTTTGGCTGCATTTCAAGTGTGGAAATATGAATGCATTCCTGGACTAACTGGTCCTGTATTGTGAATTGGATGTCGGAGAAACAGCCGTCTGCTGTTAAGTTGGAAGAAGATGTCTTCCTACTCATGATGTAAGTCTTTATTTTATCTATTTTTTACACAGGTTACAAGGTCATAGAATAGATACATAAGTCACAAGGCCACAGAGTTGCACACATATGTCACAAGCACCCATATATGTATTCATGGATCATACACTAGTCTCTTTACATGTACTGCGTTTAAAACCATCAAGTCACAATAAATTTGTAGCTTCTGAGTCATACACCACGAACAAGTGTTTCATTTGCAATATTCTCACAGCTTGAAATTTGTTTTGTTGTTCCATCTGACATGGAGTTGGAGGCTCAATATATGAATGGTGTTTCGTACACCAAACCTATGCAACCATGTGCTCATGGAGATTGGAACAACAAAGACTCAGGCTCAAGTACTGGCACATCCCATACTCAGTTGCTGATGATTACAGATGGCAGAAAGGGACACTCCAGTGATGTTGATGATGATGACGACAACTTTATGGTTCTACCTCCCAAAAAACAGAGGACACTTACTGTGTACATATCCTCCGAAGAAGAGCAGGCAAGTGAGCCACAGGCAGCACAAAGCGAGCCTTACCAAGCTTATGAAAACGTGAACGTGATGTCATAAGCAGGTGAAGGTTGTCTGCCGAATGAGCTAACGTCGACACGAGAACATGATGCACCTCAAGTAGATGTAAGTTGATTAATGTCCTAGGTCACAAATCATTTGTTACTTTTTAATGTCCTTGCGTAACTAACATGTGCATTATGATTATGTGTATATGTGCAGGTGTATGAGCAGTTGAAAGAATTGAACGGGAAAATGAATGAGATGCAATTGAAGAATGCAGAATTAATTTTGGTTCTACATGATGTCAAGTCACAAGTGATGGCACTGCAGGCGGATCACAAACTTAAACTGAACCAGATTATCTGAATGCAAAGGGAGATTAAATGTGACATGATGGACGTAAGGTCCAACGTGATGTTTCTGTCGGATTCTGTGACTGGCTTGATTTCGAGTACGATGGACTCCATTTTGGAGAAGTTGAAAGCGAAGAAGTTTAATGGAAAAAGTGATGATGTTGACGAGCAATCTCAAGAGAAAGTAAATTAAATTGTGAAGTTTTGAATTGTTTACTAGTATTATCTCCCAGTTTGTCATTTAACATTTCCTATATTCAGGGCACAACACTGGATCCACCTGTGGACAGGAAAGGAGAGGAAAAGGGAAGATGGAATCTGCTGGAGTTGTTGAATGCCAACATTTTCCTCCACCACCGTCGTTTGATTTGAGGATTTCATGTACACCAATCATGTCGGGTGCGGTAAACCTTACTGAAATGTTCCAAACTACAGAAGTTCAAGAATGTATTGATGATGTGATTGCTGGTGTGCTTGAGCGGATTGTTTCTGATGATGTAGATGTTGAGGCAACGAAGGAACAAACAAAGGCGATTGTGGTATTTATACACTTGTTTCAAATTTCAATTAAATTATAAGTCACAGTTCACAGGTTATTTATCTATTTCAATTTCATCCTTTTGCAGATATCTCCTCCTTCGGCACCGTCGTCTGGCTTGCCTGTTAAGCGGGCTCCCAAACATACTAGACTATTACAATCTCCATATGTCATAAGTGCTGAGAAACAGAGCAACCAATCAGATGATGTGGTTGTGTTTGAGATCCATGATAAGCCTGCCGATGAGGTTGATGTGGTAGCATTCAAGAACTGGTTTAACATAGGTTACAAACCTCGGAACAAGTACGTAATGCTAGTATTCTGTGAAATGTGATTGTGTTCATAGGTGACTACATCATAAAATTTGAGTTTTTGTGGTCATGTTTTGGTTGTCGGGAAAAAAATTCAACAATACAGATGATGTCATCTGACCTCCATTCCTCATTGGTTCTTTGATTGTGGGCTCAAAAATATGGTGACATGAGCTTATTAGTTTAGAATCTTCTCTAAGCAGCACGGTTTGTCTTCTATACAAATTGTGATGTATCTATGGGTTTGTCACAAGATACAGTGTATATGCATGGATAAAAAGTTATATATATATATCAAATGTAGAGGTTACAATCTGGAAGACTAATATTGATAAGGACTCAGTTATGATAAATTCAAATGTCACCATTATGCACAAGTCACAGAGCCCTGTCAATAACACTTAAGTTATACGTGTCTTATTCAATATTATGTAAGCGTGATGAATGATTTCACCAAGGTCACATAAACTGTCTGATGAATGTGAATTTAACTTTGACAACATATGGACGTGTGTTTCTATTTTCTACGGCAATTTGTTTCAAGAAGTGGGCTTGCTAGAGTGAGAGCCACCACGACAGATTCGTTGTTCCAAGCTAAGATCAAGAATTTGTTTGCCCATTTCATGAAAGATCCTAATGTGGTAATGTCTGATTCCTACATTGTTGAAGTTGTTAGAGGTGGTCGGATAGAGTACAATCGTCCTTGGGCTGATATGGATTATGTGTTGTTCCCAATTTTGCCCACAAATTGTGCCCACTGGATGCTTGGGTGTCAGAACATAAGGAAGCGTGTCCTTTACATATTTCATTCAAGCTACAAGACATATCGGGATAAAATGGTTAATACAGGGATTGAACCATTTGCAAGAATTTCGTGTCTTATTCAATATTATGTAAGTGTGATGAATGATTTCACCATGGTCACATAAACTGTCTGATGAATGTGAATTTAACTTTGACAACATATGGACGTGTGTTTCTATTTTCTACGGCAATTTGTTTCAAGAAGTGGGTTTGCTAGAGTGAGAGCCACCACGACAGATTCGTTGTTCCAAGCTAAGATCAAGAATTTGTTTGCCCATTTCATGAAAGATCCTAATGTGGTAATGTCTGATTCTTACATTGTTGAAGTTGTTAGAGGTGGTCGGATAGAGTACAATCGTCCTTGGG